CCGAAAAAACCTACAACAACCCAGTGATTCCGGCCATGAAAGCCTTCGACAATACATTCCATGAAATGGGGATAAGTTCAAACCAAGGGAGCATTCAAGCCAGCAGCGATTTTGTTTCATTTAAGGGCCCTTCCACATAACCATATAACCCAGGATATCAAGCAGAAAATCCCATAATATCTGCTTTGACCTGGGTTATCTGAGTCCACACTGCCATATATTCCAGTTCAAAGCAGATACTGTGGGATTGTATTCAGTTGTGTGGAAGGTGCCTAGTTAAGAGCTCTGAAGGAAGCCCATGCAATATTAAGACCTTACCTTTCAGCTCGTTGTTTTCAGTTATGAGCTCTTTCATCTGCTGGACCATCTCATCAACAGTAGTAGCCCCATTTACAGGAGGTGGCACATTTGGGTGCCCATTTCCCACTTCCGTCTTCTGGTGTTCCCCATTTTCAGCAAGGCCGTTTAAAGGCTTGCTGGACATCGCTGCAGCTGCTTTGAGGAAAAAAATGAATATAAATCATAACACATTGTCCAAGGGCTGGCAGTCAAACTGTGTACATGTCAGGATGTGAACTGCTATCTGTACTATATATTTTAGGCATCCTAAACATTAGAACCCCACAAATGACAGAATCGGGGCAAACTTCTTACACAGAACCCCCATGACCAACAGAAAATACTTAAAGCCATCCAATCCAACTCCCTTCATCAGGGCAAGAAAACGTAATCAAAGTCCTCCTGACAAAGAACCTCCCAGCCATAGAGATAGATAGATAGATATGATTCACACACAGAGAGATATAGCATCATAGATTTGAAAGGGACCCCTAGAGAAGGACAATTATATGATGAATGTTCCAGAGTGGGCAAACCAGACACTCTCCACATCAGGGGTCCACAAACGTTTTAAACAGAGGGCCAGGTCACAGTCCTTCAAACTGTTGGAGCGCCGGATTATAATTTGAAAAAAACATGAACAAATTCCTATGCACACTGCACATATCTTCTTTGCAGTGCAAAAAACCACTTTAAAACAATACAATAATTAAAATGAAGAACAATTTTAACAAATATAAACTTATTCGTATTTCAATGAAAAGTGTGGGCCTGCTTTTGGCTGATGGGATAGGATTGTTGTTGTTGTTGTTGTTGTTGTGTGCTTTCAAGTTGTTTCAGACTTAGGTTGACCCTGAGCAAGAGCCGGGTAAATGAACTTGGAGGGCCAAATCCGGCCCCTGGGCCTTCATTTGAGGACTCCTGCTCTACATCAACACTGACAAAGAAACAGCAAGAAATATGGCCCGAACCGTTTAAAATCTTTTCATGAGACAAACACAAAACATGTTTGGGTGCTGCTTGGAAATTGTCTGGAATGACACTATCTCCTACATGCCCTTTCCTTAGAACGTCCTTGTAGATGGCCAATTCTCTCACACCAGAAGCATTACCCACAAGCAGAAAGACATTACATATATTAGAAGCCAATACTTTCTCGTTACTTTATTTTCCAGATCAACAGACTGGGCCACAGCAACGCGTGGCAGGTGACAGCTAGTTATTTACATAGAGAAGGGATAGAGAATACAGTTTGATCCCTAGGCTGCATGTGATAGAGTCCTGAGGCACCAGAACTCTTTGGGCAGAGAAGACTCAAGACCTAAGTGCACTCCCACTTCCCTGATGCCATAGTGTGGAGCCTGGGCTGCTCAAAGAGGACCTGGATTTCAGTAAGGCCTTCAACAAGGTCCCCCATGACCTTCTGGCAAGGAAACTAGTCCAATGTGGGC